CTCTTGGTGCCTTCGAGGGAATCGAGGACGAGAGGCGTGGCCCAGAAATCCAACAATAGGGACAGAGCAGAGGTGAGCGTGATGGTTGAAGCATGGAGATGCGGGGTATGCGATGAGGTCCGGCACTGAGCAGAGGGATAATTCACGATTTCTACTTCTAGGTCTGTATCACCCGCTGGGGTGCGAGGATGGTCTTGCCTCGCTCCTCGATGGCGTAGGTCGGGGAGTTATCCTTCTCCAGGGTGGCTGCTGGAAAGCGCGAAGCCGATCGCGCTCTGCCCTTCCCGCGCGACGCCTTGCGAAGCTCGGGCTCATAACCCCCCGTACCCCCCCCCCCTCCAGGCCCCACCCCACCGCAGGTGCTGCAGAACATCATCAAGCCCTACCGCTGCGTCAGCTTGGCGTTCCTCGCCAAGGAGATCAACGTCGCCGCCGATGAGGCACCTGCCCACCGCGCTCGGCGCCGCAGCGACGGCGGCGACGACGACGACGACGGCGACGACGACGACGACGACGAGGACGACGACGACGACGACGACGACGACGACGACGACGACGACGACGACGACGAGCCCCAGGGCGGGGCGCGGGCGCGGCTCTTGCAGCCTGCCCCACGCCCTCTCGAGGCCTCGCCGCCCTGCCAGGGGTCCAGGCGGGCCTGCCCCTCGACGGGAGGAGGAGTCCAGAATGGTCAACAGGACAGAATGCCGATTCATTCATCTGTCCGACCTGCCTGGGGCCCCCAGGAGAGGGAAAATGGGCGATACGAATTATCACCTCCCGCCTCCGCCTCCCCTTTCGCCTCCGCCTCCCTGGAGAGGGAAAATACGCGCCCTCCCCTTTCGCCTCCGCCTCCCTTCTCTGGAAAAAAAAAGAAGAAGAATAGTCAACATGACAGTCTGGGGGCGACTTTTCCGGTACGTCTGACTACTTCTGCATCTGTTTGGGCTGTGTTTTAGTTGTTTCGTCCAGGGTCCCCCTTGTAGGAGGACATGCCCGACCAAGTGCAAGGGCCCAGTTCGATTCGACGGCTCCGGGCCGATGTCTTTTTAAGGTCGGCCCGATCTGATGCGGTGCGACTCTGATAGTCCGTCGCCGGCGAGCCCAGGGGGGGGGGGGGGAGTGAGAAGGAGAAGGCCTTCTCAGAAGGCTCAGGAGGTCCTCGCCCCTCTGAGAGGTTTTCTCGGCCCTCCCCCAAGACACAGGAGACCTCTCAGAAGGCGCGAGGGCTTTGAGAAGTCCCGCCGCCTTAAGAAGGCCTTCTCCTTCTCGCCTCCCCCTCCCCTCGCTCGCCGCCAATGCTGGCGATCCGAGGCAGCCCGATGCTTGCATGGTGCTGCTGCATCCTGGCGCGGTCGGTCCGATTCGATTCCGACTCCGTGCCGATGCGGCCCGATCCGACGCACAATACGATTCGATCAGATTTCCCGATGCGATCTGACTGAACCTGCCCTGCCAGCCGGGCCGAGGCCCCGGCCCCCACCCCCCTCAGATATTCGTTTCGGGGGGGCCTTCCTTGGGCCCGCCAGACGGACGTGCCCGACTCTGTGCCAGTTCCAGCCCGACCCTAGTTGGAGTCTGGCTCGACCCTCGTTCGATCCATGCTCGACCTCAAAGCTCCGTGAACGCTCGACGCAGCATCGACGCAGCACTGGCGCAGGGGTCCCCGGAACGAGCATCCAACTCGAAGGCGGCGCGGGCCGGAGCTCCAGGGACCCCGTGCGGAACAACAAGGCATCGGCGTCACCCCAACATATTTATACTATCTGTGCGTCGCCCCCCCAGGGGCGACGCGCGCACCGAGAAGTCTTGTAGTATTCGCGCCGTGGCGGTCGCTTTCTGGCCACACCGCTAGGAAAACGATGCACTACAAGATGGGCATCTACATGTTCGGTGCGGACGCGCGCCTCCAAGGAGGACACATAGTACCAGTATGTCTCTGTGCGTCCCAAGGCAGGGCATCGCAAGGTCGGCGCTTCTGGCACGTCCCCGCCTGCCGCCGTGGCTCGGGCCCGGCACTGGGCCCGCCGTGCCCTGGTGGGAGCCATGGCATGTCCAGGCCCCCGGCATTAAGTCGGGCCTGTCCCCCTACAGGGGGATTTTCGACGGAAAATACCGGCAAAGCAACCTGACAGCGATGTGTAGGAGCATATCTGGAAGCATTCCCCTTAAGATTCAGATGAGAATCCAGTTGTAGAATTCTGCTGTTCTCGCAGTCGTAGTCGCATTCGCGATGACAGTCGCAGTGGCAACGGCAGTCGCAGTCACACCTCAGCCTCAGTCAGCCTCAGCCTCAGCCTCAGCCTGCCTCAGCCTCAGCCTGCCTGCCTCAGCCTCAGCCTCAGCCTCAGCCTCAGCCTGCCTCAGCCTCAGCCTCAGCCTGCCTCAGCCTCAGCCTCAGCCTCAGCCTCCTCAGCCTCAGCCTGCATCAGCCTCAGCCTCAGCCTCAGCCTGCCTCAGCATCAGCCTGCCTCAGCCTCAGCCTCAGCCTGCCTCAGCCTCAGCCTCAGCCTGCTTCAGCCTCAGCCTCAGTCTGCCTTCAGCCTCGGCCTCAGCCTCAGCCTGCCTCAGCCTCAGCCTGCATCAGCCTCAGCCTCAGCCTCAGCCTGCCTCAGCATCAGCCTGCCTCAGCCTCAGCCTCATCCTGCCTCAGCCTCAGCCTCAGCCTGCTTCAGCCTCAGCCTCAGCCTCAGCCTCAGCCTCAGCCCTTCAGCCTCGGCCTCAGCCTCAGCCTGCCTCAGCCTCAGCCTGCATCAGCCTCAGCCTCAGCCTCAGCCTGCCTCAGCATCAGCCTGCCTCAGCCTCAGCCTCAGCCTGCCTCAGCCTCAGCCTCAGCCTGCTTCAGCCTCAGCCTCAGTCTGCCTTCAGCCTCGGCCTCAGCCTCAGCCTGCCTCAGCCTCAGCCTGCCTCAGCCTCAGCCTCAGCCTGCCTCAGCATCAGCCTGCTGCCTCAGCCTCAGCCTGCCTCAGCCTCAGCCTCAGCTGCTTCAGCCTCATCCTCAGTCTGCCTTCAGCCTCGGCCTCAGCCTCAGCCTGCCTCAGCCTCAGCCTGCATCAGCCTCAGCCTCAGCCTCAGCCTCAGCCTGCATCAGCCTCAGCCTCAGCCTGCCTCAGCCTCAGCCTCAGCCTGCTTCAGCCTCAGCCTCAGTCTGCCTGCAGCCTCGGCCTCAGCCTCAGCCTGCCTCAGCCTCAGCCTGCCTCAGCCTCAGCATCAGCCTGCCTCAGCATTCAAATTGTGGCCCGGGAATGGAGTTCTGGGAACTCGAAGAGCACAAAGTGGCCTACACTTGGCTCCGGGCATTCAGAATGTGGCCCGGGAATGGAGTTCTGGGACCTCGAAGACCACGACGTGTGTAACTGTTTGCTTAACACGACTTCCGCGGATTCTCCCCGGCACCCGTCCGGCATCTGCCCAGACCCCCCTGAGGAGTCAAGATGCTTTCTTTTGAGACCATTAGAAACATATCAGTCTTCGCTGTTAGGTAAATACCCCAAAAATAATCCAAAAATATTCCGAAAATAGTCCGGGGACTATTTTTTGATTTGTTTTGGGGCAATTTGGGGGGTATTGTTGTATTTGTTGTTATTGTTCGTCGAAAATCCCTTTGTAGGGGGACAGGCCCGACTTAACCCTGGCAGCGTGATTTCTCCACGGCGCTGGTTCCCAGAGGCCTGGGCCCAGACCCCCTGGGGGCTCCAGAGACGGGGGGTCAATGCAAACTCGGGTTAACCCAAAAGGGGGTCCAGCGACAAGGGGGTGGTGCAAGAGATTCGGTGCAATATATTTGTGGGTTTGCAATACATTTGGGGCGTGCAATACCTTTCCGGGCGCAAGTGTATTGCTGGATTTCCGCGTGCAATGCAGTCGCCGCAATACAGTGCAATACAAGTCTCCGGCGCAATACATTTGTAACACAATTGCCCCAAATCTATTGCACCACCACCTTTCAGCTGAACCTTCTTTTGGGGTCGACCAAACAAACGGGGGTCAGCCAGTGCGCTGGATCTTTGAGGATCCTGCAGAGCCAGGGTCGCATTGGCCCCGGCTTGTGCGCAGGATCCTGCAGGATCTTGCAGGATCTTGCAGTATCTTGCAGGGCCAGGGTCGCGTTGATTCAGGCTTGGGTGCAGGATCCTCGAGGATCCTGCAGGATCCTGCAAGGCCTCGAGTCAGGAAAAAAACGACGAAAGTTTGTCCTCAATTTTCAACTTCTGGGGTCCCTTACCGTGCCTCGGGAGCGTGAAACAACGACTCAGAGAGAAAATACGGTCCCCGGGAAGGTGTCGTCGTGGAAATAGATAAAACTCATGACATCGGGGGTCTACGGGCCCAGTCCCCAGGACAGGGCGATCATCCTGAGTACTTCTTCGACTGTCCCAGGGCCCGGTAAGGGCAGGCTGGAGACCGAAAATCATCATTGTGATTTTTGTCAGTCCTCCTCCTGCTCCTCCTCCTCCTCCTCCTTCTCCCCCTCCTCTCCCTCCTCCTCCTCCTCTTCCTCCATAGGGTCAGGGGAGCACGGCTCCGAGGCCGTCTCGCTCTCGATCAGAGCGCGGGGCCACGGGGGGTGGGCCGCCCTGGGCAATCGTTCCGCGGGCTTGCGTTCCCTGGCGGCGCGGCGGCGAGCCCAGCGCGGGCGTTCGAGGTTGAGCGTCGTCCCCGGCGCAGATCGGCGGCGAGCGCGGGGGGGGGCAAGGAAGAAGGAGGCGGCCGTCTCAGAAGGCAGCGGGACTCCTCGAGGAAGGCCGGGGGGGGGGGGGCTGCGGGGCCTTCCGAGGAGGGCCCGCCCCTGCTCTCGCCTTCCCACCCGGGGCTCGCCGCCGACTCACCTTCTCTTGGTGTACCCCCAGGGGGCGGGCCTCCCAAGAAGCTTCGGGACGTCTCGCGCCGTCCGGGAGTTTTCTGAGCTGAAGTCGGGCCTGTCCCTCTACAGGAGGAACGTTCAAGCATAATCAGAGTCTGGGGACTATGTCCCGAGTATTTCTCATCAGTTTGGGATATTGTTGGGTATTCGCTTTTTGTCAAAAATCCGCCTGCAGGGGGACATGCCCGACCTAATTCTAAGCCTTCCTCCGCGGCGCAGACAACGGAGCCCCGCCGCCTTCTGAGAAGCCACCCCCCCCGGGCGCGCCGCCGATCTCTGGAGGTCCCCGGTTGGTCCCTGGAAGCTTCCGCAGGTCCATGGATGTGTCAGTGTGCCTCTGGAGGCCCCATGCACGGCCCCTTTTCGGCCTCATCCTCGTCGTCGCCTCCCTTCGCCTCCTCCTCCTCCTCCTCCTCCTCCTCCTCCTCCTCTTCCTCCTCTTCGTCCTCCTCCTCCTCCTCCTCTTCCTCCTCTTCGTCCTCCTCCTCCTCCTCCTCCTCCTCCTCCGTCCTCGTCGTCATCGTCCTGCCAGCTGGGAGCCTGAGGTGGCCCAGTGCCCAGAATTGATTCTGGCCAGCAGGAAGGGCGGGCGAGGTTCGAGGAAGTGAGTTCGAGAAGGCTTGTTTCCTCCCTTCGGCCTCCGGGGACCATTTTGGGCCCCGGGACCGTGAAAAACGGACCCGGGTGAAACATTTGACAGAATGCATCTTTGGAGGCGCTTATTTTGAGCGGATTTGGCTTCATCCTGCCTCCTGGCCGATTTGCGAGGATCCCAGCCAGCTCAGAACCCCCCAGCCACCTCCAACCCTGGGTGGTCCCTGGAGGCGTCCCTACAGTCAACCCGCATGGTAGGGGCGATCGACTTGCCACGGTTGGTTACCCTTACAGCTTTCCCTTTCGGTGTCCTCCTTGCTGGGCCGCCGTCGCCGGCCTCGCCCCGCTCGCAAAGTGTCGACATGACCTCCCAAGGTTCTTGCATCCTCGTCGTGCGTCCCCATTCTGCGGGTTGATGACTGTATGGCCCAGGGGAGCCACGCAGGTCCAAAGTCGTGGGTCATCGAGGGTCGAGGCCTCCGTAGGCAGCCTATCAGAGGAGGGAGAGGTACCTCCTCCTCCTCCTCCTCCTCCTCCTCCTCGTCCTCCTCCTCCTCCTCGTCCTCCCCTTCCCTCGTTTTCGCCTCCCTGGTCTTCCTGGGAGGCCCCCGTCCCCGCCGCTGGATTCGCCTTCGAAGCTGCGGTCAGAGCGCACCCCCAGGGAGAGGCCCGGGGAGCAGCGGAGGCGTCGGTACCTCTTGGTGTCCTCAACCTGGAGTGCCTCCTCCTCCTCCTCCCCCTCCTCCTCCCCCTCCTCCTCCTCCGTGAGAAGGCGCAGGCCTTCTCCGAAGGCGCCTGGGGAGCGTCGCCGTGTCCGTTTGAGATTATGTGTTTCAGAGCATCGAGGTTGTCGTCGAGGCCAGGCTTTCGGGCGTCGGGTCGGCTCGCCGCCATCGTGCTGCCAGGTTGTCTCCCTACTGGTCCAGCTCATCCTGGACGAGAAGGTCTTGGCTTCTCGAGAAAACAAACACGTTGAAAAGGCGATTTGTTGCGTCGGCTCTCGCCCGGCCGTGTCATCGTTTGGATTATGTCCCAGACGGACATCAAGGTTGGTCGTCGAGGCCACAGACACAATTTCGTGGCGTCGGGTCCTTCAACTCGCGGCGCCATCGTGAATGACCGCTCGGCCCCCTCACTTTGACCGACAGCGTGAGTCTCCGCTACTGGGACAGCACTCGAGCATGCTAAGGTTCGGCATACGACTTCAGTTTTTTCGGGCGTGCCGCGGTCTCGTTTTGGCAGGAAGATCCGTGGCCGAGAGACATTTACATATCACGGGGGATTGCCAGAAGACGATCCAGAATGAAGAATTGGTCCTTGGGGAAGCCGCAGGGTCCAGGACCCGTTTCCTTCAGGACCCGTTTCCCCCCATGTTGAGGCGTTATCATCATTTCACGATGACCTTCCAGGAGTTGCCTCCTAGTAGATGCTGGCCTCTCCGCCCTGGAACGCTCCTGCCCTGGCACCTTCTTGGGGCCTGGCGCATACGGCGCAGCTGGTCGCGCTTTTTCAGGCAGGCCCAGGAATGGGATGCATCGCTCCAGAGCCTTTCGGAACCCTGCAGAGCGCTCCGGACGTGCCGGAGCGGCCGCGCGCCCGACGCGTTTGCGAGAACCGCCGGATCTCCAATGATGGGCCGGTCTTCCACCACCACCACCGTAAGTTGGAGAGGGAGGGGGTCCTCCTCCTCCTCCCCTCCTCCTCCTCCTCCTCCTCCTCCTTTCCTCCATTCCTTCTACTCCTCTCTTCCTCCTCCACCTCCTTCCCCCCTCCTTGTGGTTGTGGTGGAAAACAAGCCCATCGTCAAAGGTTCCCAGTTCCGCGGGGCGGCTCTGTGACGGGCTGTGAGGTTTTCATTCGTTTCTTTTTTTTATTCGATTTTTTTCCACCCCTCGGTGTGAGGTTCTCGTGACCTTTGGAGCCGAGTTTTGCCTCCTCGCCGCTGCAGCACCGCTTGATGGGCTCCAGGTGATGGAACCTGCTGGAGCCAGGGGCGGAGATTGAGGAGGAGGAGGAGGAGGCAGAGGCGGAGGAGGAGGAGGAGGAGGAGAGGGAGGAGGAGGAGGAGGAGGAGGAGGAGGCGGAGGTAGGAGGAGGGGGAGGAGGAGGAGGAGAGGATGTGGGGGGAGGAGAGAGGGGATGAGGAAGGTAGGATAAGGGGACATAATAGGAGGAGGGGAGAGAGCTGGAACACTATATGAGAGAGCAATGACATACAGGACTGGGGTAGGATGAGGCGGAGGAGGAGGGGTAGGATGACGAAGAAGAGACGGAGGAGGAGGAGAAAGAGGCACTTCTTTGACAGACGTGGGTCGCCAGTTCGGAGGCTCCACGGAGGAGATGGAAGAAGAGAGGTAGGATGGTGGGAGGGTAGAGAAGGAGGAGAGGGAGGAGGGTGAGGAGGAAAGGGTGGAGGGTGTCCAGTAAGATGATGTGGAGCAGGTGCGGGGGAGGAGGGGGATCTGGGGATTCCCTGGAGAGGACTTCCGCTGAGCAGCCTGTTCCGTTTCCCATCCCCAGTCTTTAATGGGCAGAGACCGGCCAATGTGTTTGCCATTGGCATCTCTTCATTGCCCCCTTTGCTGCTGCTGGGAAGCATAGAAGCTTGAACAGCCACGGTGCATTATGTGCGAGTGGAGATTTGCGTATTTCCGAGACGGGGATGTATCCGTAACCACCGTTTCGGGGATGGAGTTTCGGCGGGGCCTCGGCTGGTGGGCGGTGGATATGGGTATATAGTCAGGCCCGGGGAGGGCCACAAATATCCATAACCTCCGGCTCCCGCTTTGGGAGGGGATTCGACGCATTGTTGCTCAGTTGGGGCATCATCTCTCCGATGCGAAATCGCATGTGGGATGCGTCGTCGTCTGTTGGTCTGCCAAAGCATGTTCCCCTCTGTGACAGAGTCAATATGTCCACAGTTGTCCACAGCTGAGCTGTTTACTGGACTTTCACGTGAAGCTAAGTCCTGTGCTACGTTACGTTGGGCTTTATCCCAGATAATAACATGCTTATGCGATCACAGGTAGGACGGTAATCATGAGCAGGACGAGTCTGGCAGCGACGACGAGGTCATCGGACATGCTCGAGAGACCAGGAGCATGAGAAAAAACCGTACGCCAGCAGCAAGGTCGATTCCTTCCAGCGGGTCCACCACGGGCTGTTGGGCAAGTTGAACCAGATGCAGATGACATGATCCCGCGCATCTCGTTTGTTGCGCTTACGTTGCATCTGCGGGGGACCTCGTCTGCGTCGTAAATTTGGCTCGTTTCTGATATCTGACGCGTGTGGTAGGCGCGCATTCACCGTGGATGCAATGCGGCCTCGACGCAGAGGCGGCCGTGGGTTCGACGCAGACTCGACGAGTTCGGCGTGGGTTCGACGCGGGTTCGACGTGGATGCGACTCTTGGGTTCGACGTGGACTCGACTCGGACCGCACCCTCGGCAGCAGATCGTTGGAGCCTTGCATGTCCTCGGAGTTCCCGTCTTTCGTGCGCAAAGCGTGCGCCAGTGCCTGGCAGTCGATGAGCAAGCGCTGTCAGCATCGAGCCAGCGTCGATTAACATCGACTAGCGTCGAGTAGCGTCGACTAGCATCGATCAGCGCAGGTCAGCATCGAGTCGCAAGAGCCAGCAGGATGGCAAGGGAGGCTTCCATGAGGTGCCACAGACGCGGGCGCGGTCGCATGCAGTGAAGGACCCATGCCATGGAACGCCCTGCTTGCCTCCAGGGCGCCCTGGGCTTCCTGGGTCTCGATGCCTCTGCCGTGGAAAGCGCGACGCCGCCCAGACCAAAAACCAGGGGGCGTCTTGGGCCTCTCAAGGCTGGGCTTCTTGTGGAGGGCTTCTTGGGGTCGAGTTCCTACTGTACAGTCAACCATGATGGTAGGGATGGGGCAGCTCGGCCAGGGTACCCTTGCATCCTTGCCCCTTCGGCGCATCCTTACCAGCTTTCGCTGGCCAACGTTCGGCAAGGACGGCGGCGCGTCAGGGCACCCTTGCATCCTGCGGAGTTCGGCCGTTTCCCGCGCGGACAGCCTCAACATGGCGTTCCAAGGCCCTCGCACATCCTCAGCGCACATCCTTCTCATCCTGGCTGGCTGCAGACGGGGGCCCCCCAAAGCCGCAGCATCGGCGGGCCGCGCGCACGCCGCACGCGGCAGGCCAGAGCCGCCTCGCGCCACGTGCGGCCGGGCCCCTGCGGCGGTCTGGCCCCGGGCGGCGACCGGCCGCGGCCAAGGGGGGGGCGCGCGCCGGCGCGCACTGGCGCGTGGGCGCGCGGGCGACGGAAAGCCTGCCGCGTGTCGGGAGGAGGAGGTTCGGGGCTCGAAAGGCTTCGTTGCGAGCCTGGATCGGCCTGAGATGCATCTCCTCTTCGAGCTGTCTTCGGGCATCTCTTCGACCCTGCAAGAGCTCGACCGGGAGCTCTACGAGGTTCCCGGCGGTGACCAGGTGGACGGCGACGGTTCACCGCTGGCGCCCAGTTTGGGGACTCCACGAGTACCCTTCGTAGATCTCTTCGGCGCGGCCTGACCGACCCCCTAGCAAACCATCCCCTTCGTGAGGCCCCTGTCGCCTCGCCCCAAGACGTAATTGTGTCTGCGGCAGGAGGGGAAAGCTCGAGAGGCGAGGAGGGCGTCACGGAAGGCGGTGGTTTGCTAGGAGTCGGTAGAGCCGCGCAGAGGGGTGAGGGGTTGACGTTCGTGTACGAAGTAGGTGGGGTCGAAGCATCACGCTGCATCACTGATGCATCGCCGATGCGGCTCGATGCGGAGCCCGATTTAGATGCATCGCAGGACGTCGCCAGTGCATCGCTGTCGCATCGCCGACGCATCGGTGTTGCATCGGCGATTCGTCGCGACCCTCCAAGCCCCTCTGTTCCGACCCTATCTTGGAGGCCTCTAGTTAAAGGAGGGTATAGGCTTAAGAGGGGGATGCGTCGTCGGCGTCGTAATCATCATTGTCTTACAGGGTCTGTGACTCGCCTGAGGCGTTCCGGAGTTGCCTGGATCGTCCCGAACGGTTGCTGGATAGTTGTGTTTTGATTGAGGGTGTTTAGGACGTGTGTTGGCCCAATGTTTGTGTTACCTCGTTCAGCTCCACCGATGGATCGTTACATGATCGTTATATCGCCTGCGCTGCATTGCAGAATCTCGATGGACAAACACGCGTTTGCGCTAGCACTGGTTCTGAAGATCGTCGATGTGACCCGAGAGCCAGACGACTCAGGGGCAACGCTATGGGGGATAGGCTCAGAGGAGGTGCGTCGATCCCCAGCCCCCACCTCCTTTTCCGCCTCCTCCCCCTCCGCCTCCTCCTCCTCCTCCTCCTCCTCCTCCCCCTCCTCCTCCTCCTCCTCCTCCCCCTCCTCCTCCTCCTCCTCCTCCTCACCCCGCCCAGGAGCGTGGCGGTCTCGATCCCGAACAGCTCACCCCGCCCCGAAACCGGTCGTCCTCGCTGTCGGGGGGCCCGTCGCCGCTCTGCCGGCTGCTCCCGCCGATTCCGGGTCCAGGCTGCCTTCCCCGCCGTGCCAGTTCCCCCCTTTTCAGGAGGGGAAAAACACACAGACACAATTAATCGTCGATCCCCAGGAAAATATGGGAAAATATGGGAATTGGGGGGGAAGACAAAAATCCAGAAAATATGAGAAAATATGGGGAATATCTTTATTTGTGTGTATTTATTTGTGTGTTCTGGGGCCCCTTTACCTTTGGCGCTCCCCCTCACAGGGCAGGGCTGGACCTAAACGGTGCTTTGGCGATGTCGTGGGCCGTTTTCGTTTCGGCTCCGTTCTGCGGTAGAGGTGGACGGAAGACAAAACGAGGGAAAACCCCAACACAACGAAAACGCAAAACACCGTTCAGGTTCAGCCCTGTTACAGAGTCTGAGGAGGATCGAGGATGACCGAGGATCGGGGAGGATCGATGTGTGAGGGTTGGGCGTGATCGAGGATCAGGGAGCCCATATCCCGGACGTCATGACTTTTGCAGGACGTCGACCCACAGAGGTGTCGACCCATTCCCTGGGACCAGTTTTTCATCCTACGTCTTTTTTGGACGGTTCTGAGGCCCGATAAGGGCCCCCAGATGCTGAAAATAGCGAAACATTTTCTCCGGCCACGTGCAGAGGGGGGTAGTGGAGGGGCGACGACTTCTTAGAAGCATCCCTGCCTCTTAGAAGGCGCTGGCTTTCTCTGTAGCCGTCAGGCCAGGGCCTACTAAGAGGCAGGGTGTTTCCAAGAAGCATTCGCCCCTACCCCTACCCCCTTTTGCGCGCCGCCAGCTTCCGTCGTGATGTCTTCATGACTCGGGGGGATCTGAGGTCGGAGTTGATCGAGGATCCGGGCAGATCGGGGGAGGCGAGGATCCTCGAGGGTCGAGGCGCGTGGGCCTAGGCGGAGGGCGGGACGGAATTCCTGACGAGCCCCTTCCCCGCCCTGTCCCTGGGCACGCTTGCCCATCGCCCCAGGGCGTGGGCACGGGGGAGCGAGGAATGAAGAGGAGGGGAGGCAGAGGAAGGAAAGGGGGGGGGAGCTAAGGGTAGCACGGCTTCCTGATGCAGGATGGCCCAAGTCGCTCTAAGCTGACCCCAAGACGGCCCGAGGCTGGCACAATATGCTTTCGAGCGGCGCTCCAAGAGGCTCCAAGAGAGGCCTCAGAGGGGCCACATCAGTCTCGATCACATTGTTGGTTTTCATTGTTTCTTGGCAGTCGCACAGGCATCTGAAGATGGCTTCGACCCCGATCCAGAAGGCCTCCCGAGAGCCCCCACTAGTCTCCCAACTGAGGGTCTCCACACGACCCAGACTGTCCTCGAGAGGGCCTCAAGATGGCCGAATGGGACCTCCAGGGGAGCAACGGTCAGCCCAAGAGAGTGCCCCTAGGGGGCCAAGAGGGCTTCAGAAACTTTCGAGATAGCCCAAGAGCGACCCCAGGTAGACAGCCCCGCAACGGCAACGCCAAGGCACCCCCAAAACGGTTGGAGTGCGATATTGCTCGCGCCTCGCGTACTTATCACTTCGACTCTTTGCTCAGCTGAAGACTATCGGCCTTGGATGTTGGTTCGATGTTCTGGAGACACGTGGAAATGCTCCCTTTTGGGACGTTCCCAGACGCATATCTGGGAACGTCCGGCGACGCTTCGAAGGCCGGCTAAGAGGGTCCCAAGACAGCCGACAAGCCCACACGATTGAAGATGTCCCAGCATGTCCCCAGGAGGAGAAGTTGTTGACGCTTTACACCTTCCCAGGAGAGTTGTTGTGAGAGCCATCTTGCGAGGAGGAGACAAGAAGATAGCGAACGAGAGGAAGGACAAGGAGGAGAGTAAGGAGGATGGAGGCTGTGGCAGCAGAGGCAGGGGAGGATAAGGAGGAGGAGGAGGAGGAGTTAGAATAGGAGTTGATGATTCGGGCAGGGTGCTTATCTCACGCGTGGGGATCCGCCTTGTCGGGAGCCGTCCTCTCCGCGCCCCTAAAACTTGTTGAAGAGAGACGCTTGAAGGACGATGGAGAGGAGAGGGAGAAGGAGGACAATAATCAGGACAAGCTAGGTGCGCTCGCATCATGTCTGACGCGTCCTACCCCTCCCTCCCATCCCTTACCATGGCGTAGATCTCCTCTCTGTTCGCACAGTCGGATGTTGAGCAGGGCAATGATCCAGAGAGGGTGCGCGATGCAGCGTAGAGCAAGGCATAATTAGCAGGGCGTAGAAGAACACGGCAGAGCGTGGTATGTCTTAGCATGGCGTGGCGTTGCGAAGTGAAGAATTGAATCACAAAGCATGGTGACGCAAATATGGCATCGCACAGCGGCACATAAGAGACCATGGCATAGCATGGCGTTGAAGATCAAAGGGTAGCATGGCATATTGCAGCTGAAGGCATTGCATTGCACAGCGGAGCACTACATAGCATTGCATTGCATGCCGTGACATGGCACTGGAAATGATGACGCCAGCGCGGCAGCGGGAGCACGATTCGGAACCAGCGGAAGCGCGGAAATGATGACGCCAGCGATGCAGCGGGAGCACGATTCGGAACGAGCGGAAGCGCGGAAATGAGGCCAGCGTTGCAGCGGGAGCACGATTCGGAACGAGCGGAAGCCCGAAAATGAGGCCAGTGTTGCAGCGGGAGTAACATTTTGAAAAAACAACCCAAGCGAAAAGCCTATTACCAGGAATCTTGTGTGTAAGAAAACAGTACGCGGAGGGGGGCCGAACATCTTCCGGACGTCATCAGGCTTGAGAGGACAGTAGGATTCATATTGTGTAATTGTCAAGGCATGGCAACGATGAGGGGGCAGACCCATGACAGCCACGGAGAGACAGGGCTCATGTTTGTGATGCGGCTTTACATGTGTTTTCAGGCAGGTCTTCTTTCCTGTCGGGGTAATGCGTCGGGAGGTGGAGCCCGTGAGCACATTCAACATGCATGCAGCGCGCGCTCGCGTCCCTCCGCCGTTGTGGCTCCAGGATTTGTGCTGGCGCGCAGACGTAGCCGAGGGAAGGGGGAGATCGAAGAGAAGCTGAGAAGCGAGGATCTTGAGGAAAACGACAGGTTGTCGGCAGACAGGGGTAGAGCATGTCGATTCATGAGAACGCTCTGCGTCAAAGGCGAGATATTGGATGGACCGGCTGCGTGAGCCAGTCGACCAGCGAGGGTGTGTCGGGCAAAAGACGCCAATCTTCTCTGAGTTCTTGGCGGCTTCAGGTCCCGCACAGTTGGATGCTCGTCTTTGATCTCAGCTCATCTCGGGAGTTCTGAAGAGCTTCCATCCAGCAGACGCTTTCGCAATCGGGGTCCAAAGCTGGCTTCAGCGGCCGAGTTCACCAGGCTTCAGCCACTCCGAGTGGTCTTATTGCCCACCAAGCACGCAGGACAAGTCAGAACACTTCCTTCAGCTATCCGTTCTGGTTTTCCGTACTTGTGCGCCTCTCGTTTCGGCGATCTTGGCCAAGCTAGCAAGTTTCTGCAATTTGCCGGTCTACGACGGTCTCTAATGTCGCTTGTCGAGGGGTTCCCAGTCATCATCGTCGATGTCGCAGCGCAGTTCCCGCGCCCCCCCAACGTTACTGCTCTTCGTAGTCCCGTCTCGTCCCTTTCTACAGCCGGAGCGAGAGTTTGAACAGCCCTAGCCCTGGAGCGCTCCTCTGATGTACTCGGTGCTTGTGCTCTCCACCGTTCGGTGGCCTCCGTTGTGCGCATCTATCCATGCGGCCTTTGGGCTCCCGGCGCCGTGCTTCGACTGCATCTTGTCCCTCGCCTCGCTTGCCACCAGACTCTTTAGGTGGCAAGTCATGGGAGCCTGGTATACCCTCTCAATTCCGTCTTTCGCGTCGATTGGCGTCGGGGAGTCGACGAGATAGCGCCGAGTTAGCGTGGGCTAGCGTCGATGAGCGCCGATTTAGTGTCCATGAGGGCCGATCTAGCACCGAGCAGCGTCGATTCGCAAGAGCCGACAAGATGGTCCCCACGAGTTGCCCCCGAAGACTCTCGCGCCAAGTCAGGGAGCGCCCGTTGCTCAGTTCTGCAGGGACGGCGGCAGCGGCGAGGGGTAGCGGCAGAGCAGTCGAGCCGCCCGGGCCGGCCCCCCCGCAGCTGCCCCTAGGTCCCCGCAGAGGCGCGGCGACGACGGCGGCGGCGCGGTGGGGGCTCGACGGCCGTCGTCGCGGTGGTCGTCGTTCGAGGTTACCTTTCTTCTCTTACACAGCTGTGTTGCAGGCTCGGATCTCCTTATTTTCATCGTTGTCGTTCGTTCGTTCTTCTTTCGTCCTCCCCCCTTCTCTCCCGGCAACAGAAGGAAACTCCTGGAGTAAGGAGGCGAAAGCCTCCTGCCCCTCGCAGCTTCTTCGTGCAAGAGCCAGTGCACGCGTGCCACTTGTTACACGTTCGTCGTTTCTTGATTCTGGCCTTCCGGCGGTTCCCGCTGGCTTCAGGAGGTTTTTCCCTGCCTCGGAGGCGTCCCTGCAGCTACGCCTCGCTGTGGGCCGAGGGCGATCCAGGGGTGCCCGGATCGCCCCGAACGGCGTTTGGAGGCCGAGTTCTGGCCCGAAAACTGGCGCTACGGCAAAAACCATGATCACGGGGCGTGGGGGGCTGTCGAGAGTTGGCTGTAGCAACTCGGCGCGTCAAAAATCGGCGCTGGTTGGCCATCCCAGATGCCTCGATCTTCAACTGGGCCATCTCCTGAATCGCCTGGGCGTGAGGGTCAGCGTGTGGCCACGGATCCGCCGCAGTGCAGTGGAGGCCCATGCCAAGAAACACACCCTGCTTGCCTCCAGGGTGCCCTGGCTTTCTTGCGTTTCGATGGCTTTGCGATGGAAGCCGTGACGTTCGCACGCCAAAAATCTCGGGACGTCCTGGGGTCTCAGGGTTGGGCTTCTTGCGGAAGGTGACTTGTGGTCGAGCCCCTACTGTACCCCGGGCCCCCCCCTCCAGTGTCGCGAAGATAGCAGCGCTTCGCGCGTCACGGCGGGGGCCAGAGCGGCTGCCCTTCTCCAGGGGCGCGAGGCGCGCAGTGGGCTCGCGGGCATCGTTGTCTTGCCGCTGCTTCTTGGCCTGCAGCGGGGGGACTCCTCTCCGCGCCGACGGCTTGCTGCACCGCCCGGCCTCGGGCAGTTTGCCTTGCAGACTGCCCCGGATCGCTGTCGGCGGCCTCGGGCAGGTTCGGATGGTCCCGGGTGCCCACGGACACGAGGGTGCAATTCTTCGGAGGATGCATTCAGTATCGGCGCTGGTCTATCCGTGGTCGAAGCCAGGCCTCATCGGGCATAATTTTTGCTTGTCTCCGCTTACCCCGAATCGCCCCTTCAGACCGCCCCGCCCCGGAGCGCAAGGAGTCGCCAGCGGGGGCCTGTCGCTGGCTCAAGTTCGATGTCCCCCCCCAGACCCAGCCCCCCTGTAAAGTTTCCCTTCGAAACAGTGGGCTATTGTACTCTCGATGCACACACTGTGTGTGTGTCAATTCGGGATGCACTCTGTGTAGGGTGCAGCCAAAGGCCACCTGTTGTCTCTTTCGGGCTCCCCTCTGATGCTCCTCATTCCCTCCTCCTCCTTGGAGCTTGTTTCTGTTGGTCCGACTGTGGCAAGTCAGTATTGGTCAACCGACCCTTTTCCCGATCCCCATCTCCATCCCGAGCCTCACCATCCCACCACCCCAGCACGGATTGTGCCCCCTAAAACCCGACAGGGACATATTTGATCCTTATCGAATGGGCTAAATCAGCCCAGAATGGCCCCGATAAAACGATGCTCTGCAAGATCGCTTGCATGTGTGGAAGAGAAACTGCATACACCTAAACTCTCAGAGCTCCTCGCGGGTTTCTCGGGATCGGCGCTTAGCCACCTCGCGCCAGGGAGTGGGGCCCAGCGCAGATCAAAGAAGTCCGCGCGGACCTCCGAAAATTTATGCTCATGCAGCTTATTCTTCCCAGTGTATGCGGGGGGGGGGGGGGGGGGATCGGGCGGGGCGGGGGCATGGACAACATTTTTCCAGAGCGTTCCGGAACGCTCCCTGAGTGGTTTGGTACGGTCTCGGATGGCTGCGGCGCCCGATGCATTTTTCAGAATCGCTGGATCTTTTGTCCTTGTCCTTGCCCTTGCTTCTCCGTCATCGAGGAGTGGGGCTTCCCCAGCGAGCCCCAGAGGGAAAGGCGGAGACCATGGAAGCAAGTCCCGCCTCCCCATCCCCCTTACAGAAGATTTTCGAATGATTCCGCCTGGCCGCTTTTCGGGCTTTGCAGCCTCATGTGGGTTACCCTGGGAATCTCCACCACACAGCCCAAGCCATCATGTTCCCACAGAGCCTTCCGGGAATATGATTGTCGCCGCCAGTCCGAGGGAGAGAATGAAGCGGAGGAGGAGAAGGAGTAGGAGGATAATGAGAATGATGTTGAGGATGAGACTGACGACGAGAATGAGGATGACGGTCCAAGCCGGCTCCAAAACAGCCCTAGGGTCGCTTCCGACGGCCCATGATGCCCAAAGACATCCCCAGGGAGGGCCCGAGCCATCCCACCGAACATCCGCAGTCAGCACACGGTTGACCAGGGAGTCGCTCAGAGTGGATTCGGGGTTGACTCCCGCCACCCCGTGTCGCGTGGACTCTACCCTCGCAGGATCGAGGAAGGACGTTGTTTCGATGTCGTCGACGACGACGACGAGCACCACCCCCACCACGTCGACGACCACGCCGACGTCGACGACGACGGCGACGGCGACGGCAACGACGACGGCGCTGTGCCCGCATTTGTGCCACTGGTACGCAAGGGGGTTCTTGTGGCTCCTGGACGGCAGAAACGTTCTCTGGACAGTTCCAAGACCGCTCCCCGTGCAAGATTTGTGTAGTATCCTCCACAGGTCGTACCGGATGTGTATAGGACCCTATCCACGGCGTGTCGGAGGTGTAGACGACCCGGTGCATGCCGCATCGCATGTGTAGAGGATCCTATACAGGGGCTATCGGATCTCCACAGGGTCCGATACAGGCCGCATTTGATCCTACACAGGCCGTGACGGCTCCGTGTCGGATCATATGCAGGCCGTTTCGGACCTATGCAGCAGATTTTGTACAGGCCGTTTTGGGTGTGTATAGGATCTCGTGCAGCCCGCATCAGTTCTGGATGAACTCAAACAGAATTCTAGTATAGCTGGATCCAGCCCTTGGAAGATTCTTTTCGCTGGACCCAACCCGTATCGGATTCTACTGGAGCTGGATCCAGCCCGAATAGGATTCTTTCAGAGGTGAATGCAGCCCTTCAAGAAACTCTGTTGGAGTCATAGGGTTCTTGAGGCCTCAGAACTTGCACCACGGATTTCTAGCCGAAACCCATGAAACAGACACACAAGCTAACATTCCTTCCTTGAGAAGACAGCTGGAGGGTTGCGTTGCGTTGCGTTGCGCCGGGGAGGGGGGGGGGGGTGCAGGGCCCAATTTCCAGGTGTTCAACCCTGACAGACAACACGTGGACAGGGGCCCCATAGTACCCAGTACCCGAGGTGGATGGGGCCTCAGTGATTGTTGTTGTTGATGTTGTTGATGTGGTTGCTGTTGTTGCTGTTGCTGTTGCTGTTGCTGTTGCTGCAGCTGTTGGTGGTGTTGGTGTGATTGCTATTGTTGGTATTGTTGTTCTTGCTGTTGTTGATGTTGGTACTGTTGTTGTAATTGTTGTTGATGTTGTTGTTGTTGCGTGTTGTGGGTTGTTAATTGTTTGTTGTCGTCGTCCCGCCCGCGACCCCGACCCCGCGACCCGCCCGCGACCCACCAGCGACACACAACGCGATCCGCCCGCGACCCACCCGCGACCCATCCGCGACCCGCCCGCGACCCACCCGCGACCCGCGCGCGACCCACTCGCGACCCACCGGCGACCCGCCCGTGACCCACCCCGCGACCCACCCACGAATCGTCCGCAACCCACCCGCGACCCACCCTGTGCCCGCTCCCCCTTTTTTATCCGCAAGAGCGAAGAGCTACAAACATACATATCTATATATATGTATATATATATACACAGATACATCTCTATGTATGTAATTGCCCTTGCCTGCCTGCTTGCGCGTATGTATTTGTACACATCCATATATAAGTGTAATGTATTTATACATATATCAGAGTGAGCGGGCCGAACGGTCATTCACTGTCCCTGGATGCGTGGCTGAAGTGGAATTCCGCGGTGCGGATTCTCGTTGTTGTTGTTGTTGTTGTTTGTTGTTGTTTGTTGTTGTTGTTGATGTTGTTGTTGTTGTTGTTGTTGCTGCTGCTGCTGCTGCTGCTGCTGTTGTTGCTGTTGTTGTTGTTGTTGCTGTTGCTGTTGCTGTTGCTGTTGCTGTTGTTGTTGTTGTTGTTGTTGTTGTTGTTGTTGTTGTTGTTGTTGTTGTTGTTGTTTTGTTGTTGTTTGTTGTCGTCGTCCCGCCCGCGACCCACCCGCGACCCGCCCGCGGCCCACCCCGCGACCCACCCGCGACCCACCCGCGACCCACCCGCGACCCGCCCGCGGCCCACCCCGCGACCCACCCGCGACCCACCCGCGACCCAAACCATTTCCAAGGCACAAACCACAATTTTCGGCGCCTGCGGCGGGTTCTTTTTTGCATTCCTTCCAGGTGGAGAGCCCGCGACCCACCCCGTGACCAACTCGCGACCAACCCACGACCCAAACCACGTTCAGGGTACAAACCACATTTTTCGGCCCCTGCGGCGGGCATCCGTTGCATTCGTTTCAAGTGGAGGGCCCGCGGCCCACCCGCGACCACGTTCAGGGTACAAACCACATTGTTCGGCGCCTGCGGCGGGCATCTTTTGCATTCGCTCCCGGTGGAGAACCCGCGGCCCACCCGCGACCCAAACCACGTTCAGTGTACACACCAATTTTTTTGGCGCCTGCGGCGGGCTGCTTTTGCATCCCTTCCAGGTGGAGGTGGAGAGCCCGCGACCCACCCGCGACCTAAACCACGTTCACTGAACAAACCAATGCCGCACAAGCGCGGCGGCGGATTTTTGCATGCCGTCTGAGCCCGCAAGGACCTCTTCAAGCCCCGCGCATCCACACCAGCCCGTCCAGCAACTCTGCCCTGGCGAGTTGCCTTGATCAGAGAAGGCGGGGAGAATAAAGTGGAAAAAAGGATTGCGTTGCAGTTATCTTGGGAAAAGGAGGGGGGGCAGGTGGAGTAAACAGGGGACGAGGAGAACGCGGAAGAAGAGAGGATGTAAGATAATGTGGAGAAAGAAAAGGAGGAGGAGCAGGAGGACGAGGAGGGGGAGGAGGGGGAGGAGGGGGAGGAGGAGAGGGGGAGGAGGGGGAGGATGATGATGATGGACGACAGTGAGAGGACGATGGTGGAGGCCCATGAGGGGGAGGACGATGATGAAAGGACGAGGGGGGAGAGGGAGGACGAGGAAGAAAAGGAGGAGGAGGAGGAGGACGAGGAGGAGGAGGAGGATAACGATGACGATGAAGACGAGGACGAGGAACAGGAGGAGGAGGAGGAGGAGGAGAGCGCCACCACGAGGTCCGCCGGCTCGATGACGCCCGCGTCGCCCGCGCCCGCCCCCTCACTCTTATCCGCAATTGCGGGGTGCTACGTAGATGTATATCAGAGTGAGGGGGCCGAACGGTCATTCACTGTCCCTGGGTGCGTGGCTGAAGTGGAATTCCGCGGTGCGGATTCTCGTTGTTGTTGTTGTTTGTTGTTGTTGTTGTTGTTGTTGTTGTTTGTTGTCGTCGTCCCGACCGCAACCCGCCCCGCGACCCACCCGCGACCCACCCCGCGACCCACCCCGCGACCCACCCGCGACCCACCCGCGACCCACCCGCGACCCACCCCGCGACCCACCCCGCGACCCACCCCGCGACCCACCCCGCGACCCACCCCGCGACCCGCCCGCGGCCCACCCCGCGACCCACCCGCGACCCACCCGCGACCCACCCGCGACCCGCCCGCGGCCCACCCCGCGACCCACCCGCGACCCACCCGCGATCCAAACCATTTTCAAGGTACAAACCACATTTTTCGGTGACTGCGGCGGGTTCTTTTTTGCATTCCTTCCAGGTGGAGAGCCCGCGACCCACCCCGTGACCAACTCGCGACCAACCCGCGACCCAAACCACGTTCAGGGTACAAACCACATTTTTCGGCCCCAGCGGCGGGCATCCGTTGCATTCGTTTCAAGTGGAGAGCCCGCGGCCCACCCGCGACCACGTTCAAGGTACAAACCACATTGTTCGGCGCCTGCGGCGGGCATCTTTTGCATTCGTTCCCGGTGGAGAACCCGCGGCCCACCCGCGACCCAAACCACGTTCAGTGTACAAACCAATTTTTTTGGCGCCTGCGGCGGGCTGCTTTTGCATCCCTTCCAGGTGGAGGTGGAGAGCCCGCGACCCACCCGCGACCTAAACCACGTTCACTGAACAAACCAAGGCCGCACAAGCGCGGCGGCGGATTTTCGCATGCCGCCTGAGCCCGCAAGGACCTCTTCAAACCCCGCGCATCCACACCAGCCCGTCCAGCAACTCTGCCCTGGCGAGTTGCCTTGATCAGAGAAGGCGGGGAGCATAAAGTGGAAAAAAGGATTGCGTTGCAGTTATCTTGGGAAAAGGAGGGGGAGGCAGGAGGAGTAAACAGGGGACGAGGAGAACGCGGAAGAAGAGAGGATGTAAGGATAATGTGGAGAAAGAAAAGGAGGAGGAGCAGGAGGACGAGGAGGGGGAGGAGGGGGAGGAGGAGGGGGAGGAGGGGGAGGATGATGATGATTGGCGACAATGAGAGGACGATGATGGAAGGCCGATGAGGGGGAGGACGACAATGGGAGGACGATGGAAAGGACGAGGGGGGGGAGGAAAGGACGAGGAAGAAGAGGAGGAGGAGGAGGACGAGGTGGAGGAGGAGGATGACGATGGATAGGAGAGAAAGAGGAGGAGGAGGAGGAGGAGAGGAGGAGGAGGAGGAGGAGGAGGAGGAGGAGGAGGAGCAGGAGGAGAACGCCATCGACAGGGAACGTGGGGGCCACGAAGTCCGCCGGCTCGACGACGCCCGCGTCGCCCGCGCCCGCCCCCTCACTCTTATCCGCAATTGCGGGGTGCTACGTATGCATTGATCTATGTATATGTATATGTGTATGTCAATGCCCCACGTGCATCCGCTTCCACAGCAGGTTCACGCCCTTCCCTCCCCCCCCAGCGCCAGGCCGCTGGCCCATGGTCGCGGCGCGCGGCCCCTGCCCGGCCGCCGTGAGTGTCGGTGGCGCCGCCGGGCGCCGGGGCATGCTGGCATGGCGCAGGTCGGGGATCAGGGGCAAGGCTTCGGGGTGGAGGGTTTCTCCGAAGGGCTCAGGCGACCCGTCCTCCTCCTCCTCCTCCTCCTCCTCCTCGTCGTCGTCGTCCTCCTCCTCCATCCAGGCGGACTCCTTAGCGAGGGCCCTCGCAGCCGTGTTGCCCTCGGGCGGCCGCGGTCCCGCGACAATGGGAGCTCCCGGCGACGAAAGCGAGAAGTGCCCTGGAAACAGCATCATTCGGGGCGACCTGGATGGCGTGGACCGAGTGCGCCCAGCATGCTGTGTACATGAGGCGCCCGTCCAAAGCCAGCAGGAGAACCCGCAGACGTCTAATGCTCCACGTGCGCCGGCAAGCCGCCCTGGATTTCGGACTGGTCGAGCTGGACTTCGGCACTTGGCCAGCCTCGCCATTTGATTACGGATTCGTTGAAGAGTGGCTGCAGGAACCCGCGTGCGAAAAGTGGGAGACGAAGATCGAACCCGCTACGACGGGAGTGCAGGGATCAGGGCGTGCGAGAGGACGAATATGAGGCTAGAGGACACGACGTGGGAGGCGAAGCAAGAGCCCACCATCTTCACCTACAGGGCTGGAAACAGCAGCGCGAGACGTGGACGGCGACGACACAGCCCGTCACGAACCCCTTGTGAGAAGCGGGAGGCGAAGACAGAACCCAATATGACCAGCTACAGCGAAGCGATCAGGGCGTGCGAGAAGGGAACGGCGAAGTTGGAACCCGACGAGCCGAGCTACAGCTCTGTGAACAGTGAACGCAACAAAAAAAAACGGAGGCGGAGCTGGAGCCCGACATGATATGCTGCGACACTCCGATCAGGGCAACAATGGCGGAGGTAAAGTTGAAGCCCAATAGCACAGGCGCGTTCCCCTCGGCACCTCTCGTCGCCACGGATGGATCAGTGAAAACGGCATGTGGCTCGGCTGCGAAGGCGAAGTTGGAGCCAAGCGTGATCAGCTACAGCGCAGCGAGCGAGAGAGGAGCATTAGAGCTGGAGGCATCCATCCAACGGGCCCAGCGGCTGGCGCGGAGGAGGCTGAGACGCGTTCGCTTCGGCCTGCATGAGGTGCGGGAGCTTGCTTGCGGGAAGCTAAGGGGAAAGCCCAACACCATCAGCTACAGAGCTTGGATCAAGGCGTGCGGGACAGTTGAGCAAAACATACCGATGGGACCCCTACAGCGTCAGATGCAGCGTTGGGAGCAGTGCGTGCAACGAGGGCGCTGCAGAGGCACCATCAGATATAGTGCTGGGATCAGTGCGTGCGGACCCCATCAGCTACACCATTGGCATGACAGGGGCATCATCATTTACAGCGATGGGACCAGCGCGTGCGGACCCCATCAGCTACAACCGTGGTTATAGCGGCCGCGAGAAGCAAGCGGTGAGGGCAACCGCCAACGCCATCACTTGCAGCGCTGAGATTAGCTTGCGCGAGAAAGGCCAGGCGAAGCTGGGAGCGCCCGGCTCCATCAGCTACAATCTGGGGGACAGCGTGAGCGAGAGGCCCGAGGCGATTCAAGAGCCTAACGCCATCAGCTACAGCGCTGCGAACAGGAGGGGGGGCGAGATACAGCGGGAGGCGAAGACGGAACCCAACATCACCCCTTAGCTGCAGCGTTGAGAGCAGGTGCGCGCGAGAAGCCGGAGGCGATGGGGGAACCCGACGAGCTCAGCGACAGCGCAGCAGTCAGGGCGTGCGACGACCAGGAGGGGACAGACATCGACAGGTGGCTTAGCTGCCAGTGCGACCGCAAGCATGGTGTACACATGGTAGACGTGGTAAGGCAGATGGAGCAAGATGGAGTCGACCTCCGGTCCGCGTATGCCTACATAACCTTCCCCCGTTTCAGGACGACCTTCCGCCTGGAGGGACAGGGTTTTTCTGGTGGCGGCGCGCAAGCCCAACGTGACCAGCTACAACGATGAAGTCGGAGGAAGCGCGTGCGAGAAACTCCGAGAGGGAACGTGCGATAAAAGTGCGAGACGCTCCAGGAGAGAGCGTGCGAGAAGATTGTGTGAAAAGGCGGGCGGGGGGGTCTCACAGAGGCGTGCGCCGCAGGGGAAGAGCACGCGGCCCTCGGTTGAACCTCTCCTCGTCCTCTTGCGGGAGAGGGCCGAGGCCGCCCAGGCCTGAGCGCGCGTGGACGCCCGAAAGGCGCCCGCGCGGAAAGGCGAGCCCCGTGGCGGGGCGGAGGAGCAGCGTGAATCTTGGCATCGCCATGTTCGGAGAATCTCGGATAACCTCCTCCTCCTCCATCTCCTCATCCCCCTCCCCCTCCTCCACCCCTTTCTCCTCCTCCTCCTCCTCCTCCTCCTCCTCCTCCTGCTCCTCCTCCTCTTCCTCCTCATCCTCCTCCTCCTTCTCCCCTTCCCCCTCCTCCTCCTCCTCCTCCTCCTCGGGTCGCCTACGGCCCCTGGGGAAACTGTGCAATCAGGGGCCAGGCATTGCTGGAGGAATGGGTCGTGCCAAAGCAAGGGTTGCATGAGCAACAACTGTTTGAGGTCCGCGCGGATTTGTACCACATCCTACGATGGGTTTCGTGTTCCCCATGTCTGAAGGTGGTGGTTCTCGTTATTTCTTGGGTGGGTACGAGAAGGAACTGCCATCCTCACCTCCTCTTCGCTTCGCTTTCCCGACCAGAGCGACTCATTTCCATTCAGGCGGACTCCTGTTCAGGCGTATTCAGACTCACGCACACTCGAACTCACTCATACTCCGACTCACTTCTAACCAGGCTCATTCACAAGCTGACTCGCTTACACTCTGACCCACTCATATTCAGAGCCGGGCTCATCCAGACCCACCCACACCCAGACTCGCTCACACTTTGACCCGCGCACGCTCGCATTCGATCACACCCAGAATAACCCACAGCCGTTTCCTTTCATGTTCAGATTCAGACAGTAATGCTCATTGGTGGGCCAATGCTCACCACGATGTGGCAGACGTAGCACTTGGCCACCCCAGCGAGGGGGCGCCAACGGTGGGGACAATCCAGGATCCGCGCCAAGATTGTGGGAATGCGATCGGCGTTTTACCTGGTTACGTGGCCAACATATTTTGCTCGTAAAGCTGTGAGGATGGTTCAAACGAGGCGCTGGTGTCAGCACTCGTAACGAGGATTGCTAGGAGTGGGGACATTCCATGATTCACGCCCAGATTGCGGGGATGCCTCTGGCGGTTTGTCTGTTTGTGTGCCCAAGAACATGCTCTATGTTTGAAGCAAGCTGTGAGGAGGTCTCGGGCGATTTGCTTGGCCCTGCCTCCCAGACTGTTCTTTTTTTTTTGGTCCGATACGTACCGCGATGTAGCAGGCGTGGCACTGGGGCACCCCAGCGGGGGGGCGCCAAGGGGGGGTGGGGACACTCCAGGATTCGCACCCAGTTTGTGGAGATGTCTCAGGTTGCTGGCTTGTTTGCGTGCCCGGCATCCTTTGCTTTCGGAGATTATGAGGATGTCTCTAACGCGGCGTTGGTTTCAGCCCGGACGGGGGGCGCCAAGGGTGGCGACAGTCCATGTTCCGCGTCGAGATGTAGAGGTTCTCAGCGTGCTAAGCATCCCCTGCTTTCGAAGGAACATGTCAGGACGCCTGAGGCGGCTTGCCTGTTTCTGCACCCCAGACGTTTCCCTTTGGGTTGTGACATGGGCGTGCGTGCACTTGGGCATCCTAATAAAGGGGCTTGCCAGGGGTGGGGACATTCCATGATTCGCGCCCAGATTGTGGGGATGTCTCTGGTGGTTTGATTTGTGGCGTGCCCAACACATCAGCACCTCTTCCTCACTCAGACTCACCCATCTCATCCAGAACCGCGCATCACATTCGGATTCGCTCATATTCAGATTCGACCATACTCATTTCCGAGTAAACAGACATTGGACCCCGATTCAATTGCAACATGAATGGTTGAATCTGGGGTAGGAGCGAAGTGGAAAAATACGTGAGGTCTGGGGAAGGACGGGGAGGAGGAGGAGGAGGAGGAGGAGGAGGAGGAGGAGGAGGAGGAGGAGGAGGAGGAGGAGGAGGGGGGAGGGAGGGAGAGAGGGAGAGGGGACAAGGCAAGTCGTTGAGGGGGGGCTTTCGTTCGATTATATGTATTGAGTTCCGCGAAGTGTCCAGCGGGAGCCGCGATTTGAAACGGTACCGTCCTGCATCCATGCAACATGTTGCACAAGGTTGCACTTCGCATGCTCAAGTTGTCAAGGGTGCACGAGGCGAGAGCATCGATGGGCTTGTTTTCCATTTCCACCACCACCATAAGTTGGAGGGGCAAGGAGGTGGAGGAGGAGGAGGAGGAGGAGGCGGAGGAGGCGGAGGAGGAGGACCCCCTCCCCCTGCTACTTATGGTGGTGGTGGTGGAAAACAGGCCCACCAAGCATCGTGTGGAGAAAGGGCCGTCCTTCGTCCACGCAGCTGACGTCGGCACATTCTGAGGTTTCTGGTGATGAGCGAGGGGACGCCTCAAGCTAGGCTAGAGGCCTATTTTGAGAAGGAGCCGTCCTCCATCTTGCAAGCGTTGCAAGGCGTAAAATCTCTGGCTCGTCAGTCGTGTATTTAATGCAGTCCGTGGAGACGAAATTGCGCGGCGGTCAGGCGAGACTTCCTTACACAACCAATGCCACTCCATCTCTGTAACTGCTGCGAACTGTCAAGACGAATGTGCACAGGGCTAACACGAGGGCCCCACTTCCAGAACCGCCGGCCCTCCACCTTTGCAAGTGCTGCGGCGACTCAAGCTTCAGGATGCCATCGCGAAGAACACGGGCCGGCCTGTGGCCACGTTTGGTCCTTTGTGACAGGGGCGGAGTTATTCGCAAGGGGAGATGGATGGATGGGGGACGAGGAGGAGGAGGAGGAGGAGGAGGAGGAGGAGGAGGAGGACGAGGAGGAGGAGGAGGAGGAGGAGAGGAGGGCGAGGAGGAGGAGGAGGAGGAGGAGGGAGGTAGAAGGAGCAGGAGGAGGAGGAGGAGGAGGGATAGGAATGGGGAGGATGAAGAGGGGAGTCAGGCGGCAGGCGGAGGAGAAGGAAAGGGTGGGGGTGACCTTCAAAGCTGACGTCTGCGAAACAGCACAATCTCCCACAGCCAGGGCCGGAGCCCCAGTCCCCCGTATTCGTAGCCCCATGCTTCCGGCCGCACATCGGTCTGTGAGGGCCCCGGCACCCGAGGGCCTGGGCAAGGAAAAACGCCTGTTCCGAAGGTGCAGAGGCGGCGCCCGGACCCGAGGGAATGGGGGCGGGGGGAGGGGGGCAGCGCCCTTCCCCGAGTCAGGCGGTCGCAAACATGGATAAAGGGGGCGTGGATTAGCGACGGGTCCCGTTCCCATGGGAAATCGCGGGTTGCAGCTGCCGAGCGAGGCGGCGCCGGCTGCATGTTGTGGAGGGAACCTCCCCCGATCCATGGATTAGGCGACGGCGCGCCAAATCCATGGATCGCTAATCCATGTTTGCGCGCCCTTCCCTGAGATCCGACGCTGCAAAACCCGTCAAAAACGCACATATTTTGCTTCGAACGATTCCCAGCGAAACCTGGAGCGTTTGTTCCCGATGGCGCGCGGTCGCCCAACTGGTCGACAGCTGCCGCTTAGGGATTCAAGAAACAGTTCAACCGTGTTCCAGGTAGTCACCGTTCTTCAATGTTGTGCTCCATTTTGTCCCGTTCTGTTCTCGACGGTCTGGCGTGACGTTGCGACGCTTCTGAAGTTAGATGCGTCGTATGATATGATGTAGCTCTTCACTTATGTTTCTCTTTTGTTTGAGTATGATTATGTAATGCTCATCTCTGTCACCATAGAATATGAGCTTGTATGGTATGTTATGCCCTATTACACTATGTTATGACACGACCTGCTATGACACGTTATGGTGTAGTGTGTGTTGTTATGTGATGTTGTTGTCAAGTCAGCTCAGTTCAGTAAACTACGATATTATGTGTTACTGAATTTCGCTATTATGTGATGCTGTCATGCTATGATATGATATGATTTGTCATGGTGCGTTTTATATAATTCGGCTATGTTATGTTATGGTGTGGAATGCCCTCTTCTGTTCTGTCGTGTCCTGCTCTGGTATGCTCGGCGATGTTATGTGTGCTGACGGCTCGGCTCAGTATAGTATAGTACGATTTGCCTTGCTAGTATGTATCGCTATGCTCTGCTGTCGTGTGATGCTGTGTTCTGTGATGTTGTGCCAGGAAATCGAATTGTATGTCATGGTGTGCTAGGTTAGGCTCGGCTATGTTCTGTTATGTTTTGTTTCGTCGCCGTCGATGTTGTCATGTTCTGCTTTGGTAGCTTCTGTGATGTTCTGTTATGCCCTGTTTGGTCATGACATTGCTATGTTCTGTCCTGTCATGGTATGTCATGCCTGTGTTCTGTCCTGCCATGTTATGTTGTGTCATGGTGTGTTCTGTCGTGTTCGACGTCGCGATGCTCTGCTGTCGTGTTATGGTGTGTTCTGTGATGCTGTGTCATGGCATGATACATTATGTCAACACGTGTTATGGTATGCTCGGCTCTGTTCGGTTATGCTGTGTTCTGTCGTCTTCTGTTCTGCCATGTTCTGCTCTGGCATGTTCTGTGATGTAATGCTATGTCCTATATTGTCATGCCATCGCTATGGTATGTTCTGTCATGATATGTCATGCTCGTGTTATGTTCTTTCATATTATGTTGTGTCGCGTTGTGTTCTGTCGTGTTCAACGTCGCTATGCTCTGCTATCGTGTTGTGGTATGTTATGTGACGCTGTGCCATGATATGATATGTTATGTCAAGATGTGTAATGGTATGCTCGGTTATTGTTCTGTTCTGCAATGCTCTGTCATGCTCGTGTTATGTTATGGCATGCTATGTTGTGTCATGTGGTGTTGAGTCGTCTGTATCGTCGCTATGCTCTGCTGTCGTGATATGTTATGTTCTGTGGTGCTCGAACATGATATGATATGTGCGGTCATAGTGTTTTATGTTATGATCGGCTATGTTATTTTATGTCGTGATCTGTCGACGTCTGCTATGTTTTGCTCTGCTCAGGTCAGTTATGTGAGATTATGTCATGCTCTACTTAGTCGTGATTTTGATATGTTCTGTTCTGCCATGTTCTGCCATTATCTGCTCCGTTCTGTCATGTTATGTTGTGTCATGCTGTGTTCTATCGTGTTCGTCGAGGGCGCAAGGCGGGACACCGGGGACTCTCGGGGATCATCAGGACAATTTGGGGTCTTGCGGCCGCGGAATGCAGGGTGGGGTTGGCCGGGAGAGAGGCGGGACACCCGGGACTTTGGGATCATCTGGACAATTTTGGATTTGGCGGCCGCGGAATGCAGGGTGGGGTTGGCCAGGCGCGAGGCGGGACATCCGGGCTTCTCGGGACAAGTTGGGGTCTGGCGGCCGCGGTATGCAGGGTGGGGTTGGCTGGGAGGCCTGCTCTTGAAATCTAACAGCCCCAACCTGTCGGGTGGGGAACAGCATCCAGAAAAGTCACCCCCGGAGCCCCGGACCCCACTTCTTTGCGTCATTCTTCGAGCCGGATCGCTCTGTGAGGGCCCCGCGGCCCGAAACCCGGCACAAAAAATCCCGTGGTGCAAGCATTACAACGTTAGGATCCAGGGTTGGACCTCAACGCTGTTTCGTTGGACTTCGGCTGTACTTTGTATTTCGTTTTCTGGCAGGGAGGTACAGAAAAAACAGGCAGAACATAACGACAAACAACTATCGCAAGCAAAACGAAAAACAACGTTTAGGTCCAGCCTTGCCAGGATCTGCGGGTTGCCTTGCGTCGGGCCTGTTCCTCTACAGGAAGAATATTCAGATATAGTAATCACATACACTGGGGACGACTTCTTTAAAGATTTGTTGACCATTTTGTGGTATGTTTGGGGTATCTATCGGAGGTGAGGGGGTGAGATCGAAGTGGAACGGAGAGCCCCCTACCGGGAAATCGATTTCGGTTTCGTGTTCGTGCGTGCCGTGCGGGCGAGGCGAAGCTGCGTGGGCGGGCGAGAGGAAAGTCTCCTGTGGCTGAGGCGCGGCCGGACCAAATGATTCTCCCCCGGGTGGCCCGTGGCGCGCGGTGTCCCGCCGGTGTCCCGCCGGTGTCCCGTCGGTGTCCCTGTGGCTGAGGCGCGGCCGGACCAAATGTGTCTCTTCCGGGCGGCCGGTGGCGCGCGGTGTCCCGCCGGTGTCCCGCCGGTGTCCCGCGGTGTCCCGCGGTGTCCCCGCGCCCCGCGGTGTCCCGCCGGTGTCCCGCGGTGTCCCGCGATGATGATGATGATGACGATGATGATGATGATGATGATGATGATGATGATGATGAGGGTGATGATGGTGATGATGGTGATGACGATGATGAGATGATGATTATGATGATGATGATGATGATGATGGCGATGGTGATGCTGATGATGATGCTGATGATGATGATGATGATGATGATGATGACGATGATGATGATGATGGTGATGCTGATGACGATGATGATGATGATGATGATGATGATGATGATGTTGTCTCGATGATGATGATGTCGATGATGATGATGATGACGATGATGATGATGATGATGCTGATGGTGTCCCGATGATGAGGATGATGATGATCATGATGATTATGTTGATGATCATGATGATGACGATGATGGTGTCCCGATGATGATGAGTATGATGATGTTGATGTTGATGATGCTGATTATGATTGTGTCCCGATGATGATGATGTTGATGATGATGAGGTTGATGATGATTATGGCGTCCCGATGATGATGATTATTCTGATGGTGATGCTGAAGATGATGATGATGATGATGATGATGATGTTGGTAATGATGATGATGGTGCCCCGATGATGACGATGACGATGATGATGCTGATGATGATGTTGATGATGCTGATGGTGACGATGTCGATGATGAGGATTAGATGATGATGATGATGATGGTGTCCCGATGATGATGATGACGATGATGATGATGATGATGACGATGATAATGATGATGATGATGATGATGATGATGATGATGATGGTGGTGGTGATGATGATGATGATGATAACGATTCTGATCATGATGGTGTCCCGATGATGATGCTGCTGCTGATGATGATGATGACGATGACTGTGTCCCGATGCTGCTGATGATGATGATGTTGATGATGATGATTGTGATGATGGTGATGATGATGATGGTGGTATCCCGATGATTTTGATGACCGTGATGATGATTATGTTGGTGTTGCTGATGAGGACGGTGTCCCGATTATGATGATTTTGGTGATGATGATGTTGATGTTGATGTTGTTGTTGATGATGATGATGATGATGACGTTGATTGTGATAGCAGTTGTGATATCGACAGTGAGATCGATAGTGAGACCGAATGTGATATCGATTGTGATATCGATTGTGAGATCGATTGTGAGATCGATAGTCAGATCAATTGTGAGATAGATCGAGTGAGATCGATTGTGAGATCGATCGAGGGAGATCGATCGAGCGAGACCGATACTGAGATCGATAGTGAGATCGATAGTGAGACCGATCGAGTGAGACGTTGGTTCCTCCCCCCCCGAACCTCCTTATCACCCGAAGGGTGGTCGTATAGGTATTTTCGCCCAAAACCCCCTGTAGGAATACACGCCCGACCTTAGGGTTGCCGCACGCCTGAGGAAACCCAAATGTACCGATACCGCTACTTCCTGGACCTCCTGGTGTGCGTTCTGACCAGGATTTTGAGGCGAATCCAGCGGTGGCGACGAGGACCTCTCAGGAGGCCCGAAAAGGGGCAAGCGGGCGAGGAGGCAGAGGTATGGGGCCCCTTCTTCCTCTTCCGAGGCTCTGCGGGTTGCCCCGCGCCCGCGGCGCCCGCAGGTCGACGACGCGACTGGCCAGCGCTCGAGCATGCTCGCCGCGCTGCGGGCCCCCCGCGCGCGCGCGCGGTCTCGCCGCCGCGGTCGGCCGCCGCTCCTCGCCGCCCAGCGGCGCGGCGTGTGCGCCCGGCCGGCGTGCGGAGCTCTCTAGGCCTCGTAGGCGGGGTCGGTTGAGACGGGGTCGGAGGATCGCGCCGCATCGGCGACGCATCGCCGACGCATCGCCGATGCGTCGATACACTCAGCACTGCAAGTGCCCGTCGCCCCATCAGGTCTCTTGGACACGTGGCCGTGCCTCACATTTGCGTATCCCTTTTCGGGGTCCGTGGATCGATCATGTTTCCTCGCCATCGCTTGGACGTGTGCATTTTCTCTGTGAGGACCATCGAGGACCGTATTGAATCATCGAGCAGAACAAAAACAGGCACGAAACCAAAACATGCACGAGTAATGGAGGTCAGAGCGACCATGCAGGAGGGCGCGTCGATTGGCGACGGGCCCCGTTGCCTCACGTAACTGGCGCGATCTGTCAAGGGTACCTTCCCAATCCCTGGCGCCCACGCGCCAGATCCACGGATCTCGAGGGTTTATTCCCTCGGGACCGCGAGTCTCACGTATTTTTACGTGTCCCACGCGCCCTCAGGAATTCTGAGACCGCCCGGAGGGCGTGGTGTACGTGAGATTTGGGGCTTCCCCCTCGCGTGGACTACAACAATATGGGGGACTTGAAATTGGAACTGGAGCAGCAAGCAGCAAGCCTGATCCCCTCTGCCTGGCGGCTCTACAAGGGGGCCGGCAGATTTCGTCAGGCATGCCGCGAGCATACTTGGGTGGACCCAGGTATTGGCGAGGTTGTCCCTGAGCGTTCTGGCACGCTGCCGGAGCGTTCCGGAGCGCTCCGAAGCGCTTAGGAACGGTCGCGGCGCCCGACACATCCGTTGGAACCGCCAGATCTCAGACGTCCACAATTTGGCGCGGTCCGATTCTGCCCCCTCAGAGGCGACGGTAGGGGCCAATAGCCCAGGGGAGAGCAATACATGTATTCAGGTGCGCCGATGATCTATGTCTTAGAAAAGGCTCCCGCGAATACGTATAATCCCCGCCCCTGGGTTATTCGCCCCTATCGTTGCCGCCGATCCTTGCCCTGGCCTCGTCTTGCATACGGTCCACGGAGCCCCCACACACACACGTGCGCCTTCGCGGTCAGCTTGCTGCCGGCCTGCGGCCTGACTGCGTGGTCCTCTGATCGGCGGCGAGCGATGGGGGTGAAGTGTTAAGTCGGGCCTGTCCCTCTACAGGAGGAATATTCAAAAATAGTAGAAAAATAGTCTGGGGACGATGTTATAAATACTTTCGAGCATTTTTTGAGTATTGGTTTGCCTATTTTTTTATCTTTCGCCCAAAATCCTCCCGTAGGGGGACTGCCCCGACCTCAGGGAAGCGAGAAGGTGGAGGCCTTCTCGGAAGGCGGCGGGACTCCTCAGAAGCCCCCGCGCCTTCTGAGATGTCTTTCTGCGTCTTCGGGGACGGCTCACGAAAACCTCCTCGGGAGGCCCCTCGGGGACCTCCGAGCCTCCCGAGGAGGCCCTCTCCTCCTGACCCTTCCCCCCCCCTCGCTCGCCGCCGATCTGCGCCCTGGGCGGCTGCGCCGCGCCCCCCATGGCGGGCCGACGCCGGCAGACTTCTGGAGCTCGGGCGGCGGGCACCGACGCAGGGCGGCCGAAGTCGGGGGCCCCCAAACGGCGTGCTCGGATGCAACTCCCGGGAGGTGAAGTTCTGGTTGTGCCCTGGTCCGAAGTCCGGCTGAATCCCGCCTGATCCCGCTGAATCCCGCTTGGCCTGGCTGAATCTCAGGCCCACTCTGGCGTAACAGCCTCCCGATGGGGCGCAATCCTTTCTCATCCTTCAGACGAAGACCTCCCAGCAGTTGCCTCCAAGCGGTGTGGTGACCGTGCCGCGTGGTGAATCGGCCGGGATTGCTCGAAACATGTTCTATCCCTCACCTCTTGGGTCGTTTTCTTATGACTGTTCTCCCGATCGGCGCGGGCCTTCGCCCCCCCCATGGAGCAGATCTTGGCTGCTTGTGGCGCCTGTCTCAGGTGGAGCCTCCCCTGTAGGACGCACTGTTGCAAACCGTCGCATGAAGCAGAGGTCCGGACCCAGAACCCCCCCCCCTTCCGCCCAATGTCGAAACGCAGGATAAGAAAACGTTAACCTAATTACTCTTCCCGCTTCACCTTGCAAGGGCCCTGTTGCCAGAAGGCCCCAGTTCCACGGGGCCCTGGTTCGCCACCGCGCCTGGGGTGGTGCCCGGGATCCTTCACACCACCTCCAGGGGCCTGAAGATGGGCGAGAAGGCTCCGTGGGGGCTGGAGGTTTTGGCCGCAGGCGCTGGCGCCCACGGACTGCCAACTCCCGTCGCCTGGACGCCTCGGGCGCGACGCCCGCTCGGCCTCTCCCCCAAGGCGGGACGCAAGCTTTGCCGGGGGTCCCAACACCTCGTGGTGACCGACCGTGCGGTGACCTCGGAAGCCCAAAAGACCTCACCGCGCGGTCCGTCACCGCACGGTTTTGGGACCTCGGAGGCCCCAGTCGCCCGAGTCGTCCTCGGAGAACGTTGTTGGATAAAAAGAGGCCACGGGGAAGGGGTCGCGACGCCAGAGGACCCCGCATTGAGCAGATACAGATCACGACACCAGGGGTCTGGGATCGCAGTGGCCTGTCTGGAAGTTCTCACGCTTCCAATGGGCTGGACTCCTCCGTGCGCTTGCCGTGACGGAGGGGCTCTCGCCAGGGCCGGTTGTTCTTCCGGAGTCCTTTGGGGGGAGACTTTCTTGCTGGCCCGAACATTTCGGAACATCTTTCCTCAATGACTCGGCAGGGAAAGGGTAGCAGTGACACGATGCCCTTCGGAGCCCGCCAGCGTGTTCCTCCTTTTACATTGCCCACACCTGCCAAAGGCCCCCGACGTCATGATTCTGTTCATGACCTCGACCCCCAGAGTTCTCGACCCACTCCCAGGGCCGATGTATCATCCCGACTCGGTTTTTCGCGCTGTCGAGGCCCAGTAGGACCCACCAGAGGCCGAGCATTGCGGAACAAATGCCGTCGTGATTTGTCATGACCCTTGGGTGCTCTGCTCCCTCTCTTCTCGGGCAGTGGCGGCTCGCACGACATCACGCCAGAACATGTCTGGCTGAGACAGTCTTGTGTTGAGTAATACATCGGATTGACTTTCTGAGAATATTGTTTTTGATAGAACTTGATCTTGTGCTCTTGTGTTCTACTATATATATACATTCAATTGCCCCCCAAAAACAGTCGTGGCAGGCCTGTAGGAATGCCAGGACGGTCGGTCCTTGCTCAAGAGAGGAGGGAGGAGTGAGGAGGGAGGAGGGAGGAGGGGGAGGGAGGAGGGAGAAGGGAGGAGATAGGGGGAGGGGGGGGGGGAGGACGAGGAGGAGGAGGAGGCGAGGGAGGAGGGAGGAGGTGGAGGAGGAGGAGGAGGAGGAGGAGGAGGAAGAGGAGGAGGGGAGAAGGAAGAGGAGGGGGAGGAGGAGGAGGAGGAGGAGGAGGAGGAGGAGGAGGAGGAGGCAGGAGGAGGAGGAGAGGGAGTTACAGGAGGAGGAGGAGGAGGAGGAGGAGGAGGAGGACGAGGATGGAGGAGGTGAAGAAGGAGGAGAAGAGGAGGAGGTGGAGGAAGAGGAGGATGAGGAGGAGGTGGAGGAGCTGCCCGGTGCCCGATGGCGAGGCCACCCTCGGCGCCGCGGGAGGTGCTCCAGAGGCCCGCCCCGGGGGCCGCCGCGCCGGCAGGGGGCGTGTCGGAGTGGCGCGTGCACCTGTGCGCCTCTCGAACGTTGGACGCGGCGCCGTAGGCTCAGCCGACGAGGACGAGGCGACGACGAGGACGAGGATGAGATCGACGAGATCGACGACGAGGACGAGTATAAGATCGACGAGATCGACGACGAGGACGAGGAGAACGACGACGTCGACGTCGACGACGACGAGGACGAGGAGGAGGACGACGACGACCAGGACGACGACGACGACGCTGACGACGATTACGACGAGGACGACGACGACGAAGACGACACTGACGACGCTGACGACGAAGGCGACAGTGACGACGCTGACGACGCTGACGACGATGATGACGATGACGACGAGGACGACAATGACGACGGCAAGGACGTGGAAATCGACGACGACGAGGACGAGGAGGATGAGGACGACGACGAGGACGACGACGATGACGCTGACGACGACAACCTCGACGAGGACAAGGAGGACGACAACGAGGACCACGATTTCAACGACGAGGACGACAACGAGGACGACGTCGACGCGGACGACGGCGAGTACGCTGACGACGGCGAAGATGACGAGGACGACGACGACGACGACGAGGACGGGGGGGACGACGACGAGGACGACGAGGACGACGACGAGTGCGCTGAGGACGAGGACGAGGATGACGACGTTGACGACGACGCCGATGACGAGGACGAGGACGGCGACGACGACGCCTACGAGGACGAGGACGGCGACGGCGAGAACGACGAAGACGACGACGACGACTACGGGGAAGAGGTCGACGACGGCGACGACGAGAATGCCGACGACGCCGAGGAAGAGGACGCCGACGACGACGACGACGCCGAGGAGAACGGCGACGAAGATGACGACGAGGACGAGGACGAGGAAGACGACGACGGACGAGGACGACGAGGACGAGGACGAGGACGACGAGGACGAGGACGACGTCGAAGATAACGACGACGGTGAGTGATGACGAGGACAAGGATGCCGACGACGACGATGACGCGGAAGACGACGACGACGAGGACGACGAGGACGAGGACGAGGACGAGGACAAGGAGGACGACCACGACGACGACGAGGACGACGACGACGACGACGACGACGAGGACGACCACTCGGAGCACGACGACGAGGACGACGATGAGGACGACGGCGACGAGGGCGACGACGACGACCAGCTTGGGTTCCTCTTGTGGCCAGGGGGCCCTCTTGGGAGCCTCGCGGGCTCCTTTTTGTGGCATCTTTTGGAGCGCTCTGGGGAGCCTCGCGGGCTCCTCGCGGGCCGTTTTGGGGGCGATTTGGGGCGCCTCTTGGGCCGCCTGGGATTCTCTGAGGATCGAGACGTCAGCAATGCGAACACCAGGGCTTTTGCGACTTGGGCCTCTTGGCCGTCTTCGGGGGCCTCCAGGACGGCCCAGGAGGCGCCCACGAGAGAGGGAGGGCTCCAGGACGGCCCCCGTCATCATCTGCACACATGCTGGACACGCGTGTCCCGAACAGCGCGCTCTTGGCCTCTCGAGAAGCCACGCGGGGACCCCACCCAGGAGCGCCCAGTATTTAGCGACCGGAACTCCGGGCTGTGGGCCCCGTAAAGAACATCGAATTACAACACTCAGTACAGCGAGTTCGAAGGGACCCGAGTACACTCCAACTTGTGCCGTAGGACACGGTCGCGGGTATCCGATGGTTGTTATGCAATGGATGTATGTATGTGTATATATATACACATGTATAGATATGAATGTGTATGCAGTTGTGCTTCTGTGTATGTATGGATGGGTACATGAATGCTTGTTTGTTTGGTTTGTGTGCATGTGTGTATGTTCGTATGTATTGTTGTTTATGTATGCATGCATGTACGTATGTGTTCATGCATGCATGTATGCATGTATGTATGTATGGCTGTATTTGTGTATGTATGCATGTATCTAGGCAGGCAGGCATGTAGGTATGTATGTACGTACGTACGTGCGTATGTACGTATGGATGCATGATGGTATGTCTGTCTGTCTGTCTGTCTGTCTGTCTGTCTGTCTGTCTGAATGTATGCATGCATGTATGTCTGTATGTTTGCATGTTTGTATGTATGTATGCGCATGTCTGTACGCACAAATGTGTGTAGACCTGGGTGCATGCATCTGCGTATGTATGAAGAGTATGTGCGTTTGTATGTATGTATGCATGCATGCATGTGCATGTTTGTATGCTTGTTTGGTTGCATGTATGGATGCATGCATGTGTATGGATGCATGCATTTGTATATATTCATGTTTGTTTGTATGTATGTATGTAGTTATGTATGTATGTATGTATGCATGTATGCATCCATGCATGCATGCATGCATGCATGCATGCATGTCTGTGTGTGTGTGTATGTGTGCATGCTTGCATGCCTGCATTACTGATGTATGCATGCAGACGTGTATGTATGATTGGTAGCATTCACATCTGTAAGTGTGTATGCATGTATGCACGCATGCATGCATTCATGTGTGCATGCCTGCCTGCCTGCCTGCCTGCATGCATGGATCTGCGTAAGACTGTGGTTGGGGCCCGCGTGGCCCGCAAGAGGCAGACGCCGACTCCGGCACCGACCACCTCCAGGAGGACCCGTACTTCGAGGCGTTGCGGGCCCCAGCCGGCAGTGGAGGGGCGCCGTGGGCTGCCAGGGCCCACTCCGATCCGATTGCTCCAGTTCGTGAGATCTCCGTTGTTGGGGCCTGGCGCCGCCGAACGGATCGGATCACAGCCAGCGGCTTGATAGGAATCGGCGGCGACCCCGGGTGGAAGTGAAAAGGGGGGGGCCTCATCAGGAGGCTCGGAAGTTCTCCGGCTTTTTGAGACGTCTTCTGAGCCTTCCCGGAAGACAGATCTTCTCAGAAGGCCCGAGGGTTTCAGAGAAGCCCCCGCCGCCTTGTGAGAGGGCCTCTCCTTCTCACTTCCCCCCTCGCTCGCCGCCGAATCAGAGCGAGTGGCTCTAGGATGGTCGCCAGGACGGGCATCAAAGGTCCGACGCCGCGTTCGCCCGGCTCGATCCGATGCGTTGTCGATCTCCCCCAGCGGTCCGGCGCCACCCGCGTCTTGCACAGCGCATATCACGGTTCGCCAGGGCGCAGCATTGGGCCGATTTGGTCCGATGATCCCAGCTGCGTGCCCAGGCGTCCGGCTTCTCGGACACATCGAGGCGGAGGTTTTGCACAGCTTGCGGCGTTTCGGGACCCTCGCCAGGCCTCAGGACCGCCAAAGAACGACCCGAGCTGAAAAGGCAGTCCCGTGGAAGTGGTCGAGAGGTCGGGGGCCCGTGGCTCGAAAAATGGAGACGCTTGATGTCTGGGTACCCGATTCGGCCCGATTCGGTGCTTCTTCCGACCTCAGGCCAGCCACATTTGGGGGAGCTGTGGTCCTTACCCCCCTGGGGGACCCATCGATTTCGACACCCCTCGCGAGAGATCGTCGATGCGATGAGTTCCCCCAGGGGGGTTAGGACCACAGCTCCCCCAGTTATGGCTGGTCGGGATCTGTTTCGCTTCGTCGATTCGACGCCGACCGCTGCTGGCCCAATGGTGGGCGGCGAGGGCCCACCCTCCACACCAGATCGATGCCCTTCGGTTTTGTTCCCCGACCATCCCGTGGTGTTGGGCCTTCGTTTTGACGAGGCAGCGCCCCGCGTCTCCTCGTCCTTCTTCCTCCTCCCCCATCCTCTCCCTCCTCCCTCTCTCCTTGCCTCTGCTCTCAGCTTGGGCCGTCACCATCATTCCCTGCTCCCAGGCCCCACACAGTCGGGGCGCTGAAGAAGGAACCCGTTTCGTTGGGGAGGGGCTTCGTGTTTCTTAAGTGTTTCCACAGCTTGCTTTAGGTTTTCCCTAGGTTTCAATGGGAAATCGAAGCTTATCGTATATGGACAGAAGGGGTCTTGTTCTTCAACTTAGGGTTCCTGGTGTTAAGGCCCCAACTGCAGGGAGCCCCACCCAGTTCTCCAGTCGGCCTGGTCCCAGTGGCGGAGCTCGCATGTTTTGTTTCTTATTCTGGGGGAAGGGGGGGGGGGCGCGGGATGCGCCCTCGTGGCCCGCGGCTGCAGGACTCGTCGGACTAGCGTTGAGTCGGGTCTGTCCCCCTGCAAGAGAAATACTCAAAGATAGGAAAACATAGTCTTGAGACGACTTGCATTGTTGAATACCGTTTGGCAATTTTTCATTCCGCCTTTAGGGGGACATGCCCGACCTGAGACTATCGGTCGGAGATCCCCATGTGCGCGCCACCAACAAAAAACAAAGCGGGCGCGTCTGCCCCGACACTGGCGGGGTACGTTGCCCGCGTAAGGTCGCGCGTAAGCGCTGTCGTCTCCAGTGCAGCGTGCCGCGCTGGCGGCCCGCGGATTCCGCCGCGTGAGGTCTCGATGCCATCTGTCGCAAGACTCTTTTTTTGTCGGCGTATCGTGGCAGCTCGGCAGATGTCGGCCTTCATGCTCAAGACCGATTTTGTTCTCCCCTGGCGCTCAGTGGGCTCGAGACGGCAGGGCTGTTTCTGGAGCACGAGAAAGTTTGAAACAATCTGTCCTTGGAGCGGGCGCGAATCGTGACGTGACCACGGGGGGGTGGGGGGCAGCGGAGCCTGCAACAGGCATGAACGCGAATACAGAGTGCTTATGCCCGCAAGGTCGGCGGCGGCGGGGTGGGAGTCTTGGCCCCTTACCGACGATATTCCAATCGAGGACGATGTCGCTGCTTCTCCTCCTCCTCCTCCCCCTCCTCCACCTCCTCCTCCTTCTTCTCCTCCTCCCCATTCTTCCTCCTCCTCCTCCTCCTCCCCCTCCTCCTCCTCCTCCCCCTCCTCTCAAGCACGAGGGGCCCGAGCCTCGTAGTACCATCTTTTGGCTCTACAGTGCTCGAAGCTCCCGCCCAGTGCCTCCACGTGGCGCTTGAGGGGCACGCCTCACGACTAGAGTTCAGCGGTGTTCGTCGGCTTCTATCTGGTAGGCGTTGGCAAGATCTGGGCAAATCAGTTCGTTCTCGTGGAAGACCTGCTCTTCGAGCTCGGCATCCTGACAGTGCGGGATGGGCCCGGAGTGGCTAGCATTCCCCGCCGTGGCTGCCGTGCGGGACGAGCCCTGGTGTGGCTACCATTCCCCGCCGTGGTGTGCAGTGGTGGTCTATGTCAGACTGTAAATCGTGGAGTCTTGGCGGCGAGGTCAACTATCCCGCTTCACCGTCTATTTCTCATGCGTCTACTGTATGGGCTCAGCTGCTATCGAGTGCTGCGGTACCCACCGACTGAATTGTCTGCAGTTGGTGGCTTCCCACGTGCATTCAAGTTCGCCATGGTTTTGATGCTCAGTCTCTGTTTGCGGGACGAGCCCTGGTGTGGCTAGCATTTCCCGCCGTGGTTGCAGTGGTGGTCTATGTCAGTTTGTAAATCGTGGAGTTTTGGCGGCGACATCAATCCTTTTGCTTCGCCCTCATCTCTCAGCCGTCTGCTGTATGGGCCCTGCTGCTATATTGTGCTTCGGTATCCACAATCAGGTTGTCTACAGTTGGTTGCTTCCTCGTGCATTTCACTGTCTCTGCATGATTGTAAATCGTGGGATTTCGGCGGCGATTCAATTTCTGCTGCGCCGTCTTTCTCTGGCGTCTTCTGCAGGGGCTCAGCAGCTCTAGCCGCTTCTGTATCCACAACTGGATTGTATTGCAGCCTTCAAATTTACTTATAAGTGTTCCTGCGAGTGGTCTGGCTGCGAGGCCGTCTGCGGCGGATGCGATCTCAGTTTGGTGCCTTTCGTCGCAATTCTGCGCGTTGGGAGGTTGAGGTTGCCCGATGACCAGTGGGATGTACTCGTTCCTCGGTGCTTTCCATTGTAGTGGGCCGCATCGAGCAGACTCCGTTTCGGCTGAGCCGCCATTTCTTTTTTCAATGGAACCGTTCGAGTGTGCGACCTAAGTGTGGTCTTGGGATGGAGTGAAATTTCAGTTATCCTGGTTTTCCTGGTGCTGGCGTGAGGGACTCGCTCGTGGTATTGGTTTTGGTGACGTTCCACGTACTTCCCGTTCAGTGACTTCCGCTTCTGGGTCGCGTCGTCCGTCTACCTGCTCGCCTTCTTCCACGGGAAGCTCAGGGGGAGGTAGGTGATTTGTATCGCTACGCGATAGATCTGAATCTCTGAATCCTCCTCCTCCTCAGTCTTGCATACTCAACACGGGCAGCTCGAGGAGACCCCAGGGCTTTCCACTCGGCGCCTCGCTCGCGGTACCGAGGCGGACCTTCAATATTCGGGACTGGCTGCCCTGCTGCAGAGACCTCGAGGACGCCCTTTTCGGTGCCGACGGCACGGCGGCGGTGCTGCTGCATTTTGGAGTGCGAGCGCGTGCGACGTCTGGCATGTAGGCGCAGGGCTCACGCTGAGAACTTGAGGCGCCCGCCCTTTCGCCCGGACTCCTTCCCTGAAGTCGGGCGCGTCTCTCTCTGCAGGAGGAATGCTCAGACATGGGCAAACATTAGTCAGGGCACGATCCTTCGACTATTGTTGACAGTGCCTGAATAGTTGTGTTGACCGTGTTTCATTGTTCGTCCAAAGTCTGCGTGTGCGAGGACATGCCCGACCTCATCCTTCCCCTTTTCCCCCTGCCCTCGGGAGGGTGCCCGCCCGCTCCCCGCGTCTCCTCGCTACTCCCCCCCTCCCACTCCAAGAAGCACGTTGTGCCCCAAGCCCCGCGTTGAACAACAACCCTCCCGCTCTTCGCCTCCAGGGGCTCGCCTCTGAACGCCCCTGGAGGTCCAGGAATGCTCCCCGAATCGCCCCGAAACGCCCCGATTCGCAGACCTCGGCCCCTCCTCGTTCATGTTCTCACCCGAGGGACGCACTGGTTCATCTTCTCACGGGCGTTCGCGCGCGAGTTGCCCGCGAAAGGTCGTGTGTAAGGGCCTTCGTTTCCACTGCAGCGTGCGGCGCTGGTGGCCCGCGCATGCCACCGCGTTAAGGTCGCTATGCCATCTCTCGCCGCCACCCCCCGCGCGTGCCGCTGTGAGCGAAGAGCGTAGGAGGCGGAGTACTGGAGGAGCAAGAGCAAGAGGAAGAGGAGGAGGACGGGGGGATGATGATGACGGTGATGATGATGATGATGATGATGGTGGTGGTGATGATGATGATGGTGGTGGTGATGATGATGATGATTGTCATGATGATGATGATGATGACGATGATGATGATGATGATGATGATGGGGATGATTGTGGGGATGATGATGATGGTGATGGTGAGTAGGAGGAGGAGGAGGAGGAGGAGGAGGAGGAGGAGGAGGAGGAGGGGGTAACGTACGGGTGGAGGCCTTATCCGTCGCGCACCAAGCGTAAGTCGACCATGCTTCCCTTACAAACGTTACATTATCGAGGATTTCAGTGCGCCTAACATCAACAGTCACAGGGAGGGAAAGAAAAAACCTTAGGTGGAAGCGGCCAAGAGGGATTCGGATCCCCCCCTATCTCTCTCTGTATTTCCGTTGCGTTCGCTCACTCCTGGATTGAGCCTGCTAGTTTGGGATGCGGCTGGCCGCCTCGCATCTCATGGCTTGCCTTGTACTGCCTTGCCATGGGGAGGAGAAGGAGGAGGAGGAGGAGGAGGAGGAGGAGGA